ACGTGTACTATTATTAGTTATAGTACTAGTTACGTCGTACGTACGTACTACTACACACACACACTACACACACACACACACACACATATATATATATATATATATATATATATATATATATATATATATATATTCCTCAAGCGGTGGCTATTCAATAGAAGTGCATACACACAACTAATCATTTCAGATATACATATTTTCAGGTTTTCCCTGCTGCAGTACTTTGAAGATGCACAAAAGTTGCGACAAGCCACCCTGGAGGCATTGGATATTCTGGTACAGTCTCGTTTCGTGACAGTGGAGTGGAAATCAGGGCATACACAGGCACGTGAAGGGCTCAGTAAAAGTCCAAACATTCTCCCAAACACTGCCGCAATACCTATTGTCGGAGGAGATCGAATTACACGCACAAACATGAGTATGAAATCAAATGAAGAAACAAACCCGCCAGCGCAACCGTACATAAGCATGCAGGTGTATGCGACCGGAGGGGAGGGGATGAGTTTGCAATCCACGCATCTCGGACGAGCGTGTGTGGCGAGTGCCTTAGCGCCTGGAGAATCGCATTTGGTGTTCAAGGATTTGGACGTAAGTTGTTGATCTGTAGTATACGCTTGTTCATTTGCAATGAGATTTCGTGCCGAGTTTACATACATTTACATTTACATACTCTCTTGACTTCTTTTACATGCTTGTAATATGCATCAAATCGTGTAAGTTAATTTATATCATTTCAATATATAAACGTGTAGACGAGGCCAGTCAAATCGTATTCGTATTCACTTGCTCAATTATGCTTAGATGTTTGCGCATGTGACTTAGCACGTGGCTATAAGTATAAAAGATAAACAACTTTATATTTGAATAGAACAGGGAAAAAACACCCATTCGCACACTTAGCACATTGTTGTATATGGGTGTGTGCATAGATGACACTCAATGCGGTAAAACAGTCCATGCACACGGTTAAATGCGGTAGAATAGTACATACACACAGTTAATCATTAATAGTACATGCACACGGCTAATCATTCGCAGTAACAAATACACATCCGGCGCTCGCACATACTCGGGACTTCACATTAAAAAAATACATTCATCTACACTAATCTTCTCACTGATTGGGTGTTGATTTGGGGTATAACCACACAAATATCTAAGAAAAATCATTTTTTGACACTTTCATGTAAACCCACCACATATAACATATCGTTTTCGCTCATCCATTCGATGTATTGGCCTCCTTATTATTTTGTTGACCAACTTATACGCCACACAACCACTTTGACAACACGCACGCACACTAAACATCTTACTTGTTCATGTACACGCACGCGCACGCGCACTCAGGTCTCGCACACATTTCACACAAATTCGCACTCCCATACACTGACTCACAGAACGCAACCAAGGCATTGGCGCTGGAAACGGAACTGCAACTGTGCTATCTGGTAGCACCTCCGTACAACATGTACAGCACAGAGCAACAACACAACAAGTGGCAAGCCCTGGTCACCGCTTTAGGAGTGCCAAGTATGCGATGTCGTTTTATACGGGCGTACCTGAGAAAACTTTGTGCTGCCTTTCATATACGTATTGCATATAAGGTACAATCCATCCCCAGGATAGTGATAGGCGCTGGATACCGCTTGTGTATTTCAACTCTGTTCAGTCGTTGTGCGTCTATTTTTGCATCTGTAATACTCATGTGCAATATTCTCCATATAGTAGTGCTTATTTGAAGCTTTCGATTTTTATTCGTATATCAGTGTATGAGCCTTTGGTCCGCTTATCATTGCGTGAACCTTTCAGAGTATGCATGGTTTTCAAAAAACACAATGTCCCATCCCCTCCAGTGTCTTTTGAAGAGCTGTTTCTTTGAACTACGTGTGAGCTATGTGGGTACTCAATGTCTGTGCTCTCCAAAGTTTGCGCTTTTCTTTTGATTTTGACTTATACGACTATTTTACTGCCCTTCTAAGTGTGTTGTGAGATATAACTATGTAATTTATTCGTATATGGTTTGTTTCGTCCCAGTCGTATTTGCTTCTAGTTTTACGACTGCAGTTTACAGTAGTATGTTAGGCATGTACAAGCCTGCTAGTCTTGCATCTCTTACTTTCTCGGGATTCCTTAAACCAATAGATACGGCTGCTCTCTAACGAAAAAAATATGTCAACTTAAAAAGCTTGTCTGTCAAAGCAATCCTCCCGTACAAATAATTATACCTCAGGGTACACAATGACCAAGACATGCCCTCGCTAGTACGTGTATTTGAATGACTATTGAATATATCTGTACTAGAGATAGACCCCGTGCATAGTAGTCATACCATTAACACGATATGGTGTGGCATTTCTTTGATATCCACAGACAATCAGGTGTACCTCAGAGTGCTCCACAACATCGGTATCAATCCAGACAGCCTCATCCGGTGGTCACAGAGGGGAGAGTCCGCCGCAGAGAAGGTATGCGCATCCACTCGCCAATGCGTGTGATTTTTTTACGCCCTCTTTAAATTATGATTATGACAGATAAATATGAGAAAAAAACTTTTATGGTATTGGTAAAATAAGGGCGGTTAAAATTCAAGTAGAGCAGTCGTATTTCGTACATGTAGCAAATGTATGTATCTAATGGGACTAGTTGTATTGTAGAGAAGAAAAATTGTGTACAGGTCTAAATGTGCATGTTTCGATTGCTAGGAAGCATACAATAGTGAAGTTTTTGACAACATGAATTGTTGTGCACAGATTTGTACTACTTGTCCATGATGAAAAGGCACACGCGATGATGATGGAAAAGCGGTTCACGTTCTTCGTTCGTTTTATGTTCATGTTTGGAATTCTAAGATTTCTACATGCAGGTGTGGGGTTGTAGCATGCCATGTGCAGGGATGTGTGCGCATGTGTATGTGAGCTTTTTCGTATGTAGATGTGTGACTACCCTTGTGTGTATATGTGTATGTCTATTTGCACGTGCGTGTGGAAAACTGATATCCTTGCCTGAACTCACTGACCATCACACTTGCCACACAGAGAGACCCATCCGAGGAACTAGCGCGTGCACGACGGCTGTATATTGCCTATGCCATGAGCATGATTGTCAAGGAAGAGCCTATCGCAAACATCTCACGGGTAAGTTTATGCTGCACTGCAGAGAGAGCGATTTATGTCTCCTGTGACTGGCAAGTAACCAAGTATGGAAGAGACACAAATCCTTAGCAAGACCTTTCGTGACTGTGTGTTTCCGTAGGTGCGAGGCGGTTTACTACTATGCACTGTGACCATATAACTCGCGTGCGCGGTGACTGTAAATCGCATGTGCAATGTATTTGGTGGTTTAAAGTAGTCCATCACCAGCGCACAACGTACATTCACAGCATCGTTCAGTCAATGCTAATATTTACATAGTGACGAGAAGTGATGTGCTCACTCAAATTTTTGCTAGTTCTAAAAGAGGAGCATTTTTTCTAATACTAACTATTTGTTTATCTGCCATGCATTGTTAAATCACGGATCCACTAAAGTAGGTATATACTGAGGCATCCGTACATCACATTCGATCTACCTGAGCATCTATGTATATCCATCACTATACTACCGGCAGAGTATAGTTCACTTCCCCGGCATCTCTTACAGATTTGCACGTTTTCAGCCACCAATACATTCTATATCACAAAAATATATGTTGCAGTGGCTAGGAGTCGACAGAGGAAGTGTACAGAGTCTTCAGGAGCTGTCGTCCAGTTTTAGTGGAATGGTATGTGCAAGTTGGAGTGAGAGATGGATTGCAGCTCGATAAATATATACAATCTGCATATTTATTTCTCAGACGTTTATATATGTGTACCTATGCACATATTGACATGTATTTTCTTTGTATCAATACATTCTGAAATGCAATTACTATGCATTGTCTAAAACTACGTGTGACACTGGTTTACGTATGTGTTTTGCAGCCGGTACCGTATCCCAGCCATGAACACTGAACACATTATTGATCGAAAATTTGCTTTTTGATTTGCATATATATTGGCCCGTGTATGAAGTTTGGGTCTGTCTGTACTTCGCGTGCTATATCGGCATATATCTATACTTCCATAAATTTGTTCTCGATTGTTTTTCTATTATGTACAACTCCTCAATATCCTACTCGTAGCCCATCAGCCCCTCGATCACATATCCTTTCTAAACTTGGTATAAATTACCTGAAGTTATACTATCGTTTACCTCACGAATACAGTGCTTATCACTAATCAGTTCTTATAGACTTCAATAGCCACAAGCCGCACACATTACATGTATCATATCAAACCCATCACAGGTAGCGGTGTTTTGCAGCAAATTAGGGTGGGAGCATCTCGCCTCTCTCTTCAAAAAGCTGCCTGCACGTCTGTCCTTTGGCGTCACGCAGGAGTTGTATAAACTCACATCCATACCAGGCATCAACGGAGCCGATGCACGAGGTGTGTATTCACCTGTGCCAAACAGCGATGTTGAGTGCTGTGTGTTCACTTGTCCTAATATGGTTACTTGCGCTTGTGACGTCTAGCGATGTCGTTCACTGTGCGTGCTTGCGTGCTGCAAAAATACATGGGCTGGTGTTAACTGGGTGTCTATTCGGTGTATATACTCGTGACGCCAGTGTGGTGAGTTTGGTGAGTATCGGGATACGTTATATACGTGGGCGTGAATCTGCCTTGATGAGCAGATATTGCTATCTTTGCTTCACACAAATGTCTATGCACACTTCTCCATCAAATCAGTGTATGTAAATTGAGTTTGGAGAGTACACTCGAAAGTCACGAAAAAACACCCCTTACAAAAACATTATATAGCTGCGCATATGAGGAGCACATGTGTGGAGAAACAAGGGAATCGAGGGAAAAAGCAGTCAATGAAGTTGCTCTTAGTAATTTAAGCCATTGTTCAGCGCATCCCTGCACACCTTACTGAATTACATACGCAATCATTCACAAAACATTTTAACTCCACAAATTACGAACTACCCACAGCATTGTACAACCACGGGTACAAGGATTTGCGAGACATTGCATCTGCACGTCCCAAAGCAATCGCAGATGTACTATGGAATGCCAAGCCTTTTCGCACCGATTCGTCCGTGGTATGTATGTTCATGTGCGCTCTATGGGTACAAAGCTGTGGAAGGTGTGCCCACATCTGTAGGATGTGAGTACATTAATATCTTGCACCTTCTTTCCTTCCTTCAATAGTATATCATATTTCGGTGTTTGTCGTGCCAAATTTGTGAGGTACTCCATCAGGTGTGAACATATCTGTAGGCGGTGTGTATATTGAGATCTGTGGAAACCCCCTTCTTCTAATGATTTTGTAGTATAATGTGTGTCGTGTCATATGGTGCGCGGCAGTGGCCAGTCAAGGCGGCTGCTGCATGGCTCATACCTGCATAAACTACATACTTTGGAAAGTTTCTTACTCTATATTCCATATATTGCAATACATGCGCACTAGTCCGAGACTCAAGTGCAGCGATTGCCCAAGCACATTGAGAATGAGAAGAAGCGGTTGCTGGTCAGAGCTGGGCAGATGCAAAAGGCTGCGAATCAACACTTTGCAGCGGAGTTGGAGATCATTTCACAACCCAACGGACCGAGGGATAAGACACCCACGCCTCTGCGAATGGAGAGTATGTGTTCTATGAAGAGATATATGCTCATACAGCCGTGATTCAACAGTATGCTATTTATGCTATGGTCGACAGTATGTACATATTGTAGTGATACAGGACCAGGTTTACTTGAACAAGGCTTGGTGCACCAGACACTTGTCATGTTTTACATCTCAACGCCGAGATTTGATAACGCTACTCTACTGCAGTAGTGTGCTTCTACAGCTCAAGTGCAGCACCGATCATGTGAACCATTACATTATTGAGGTAGTCATGATCTATCATTCTCCGACCTCTGAAAGTGCATATAGTGAAGTCACCATAAATAGTGTTCCTTAGTATCAGTGGCGTGATTATGTGAAAAGAAATGGTCTCGCATCCTTTAGCATGGGAAGTAACTCTTCCGGAAAGATTGCACATGCGCGATAATGCGAGTAGTTAAGTATGTATCACCGCGTACGTTGCTTGCTAACACATGGGTTACAAACAAGGGTAAAGAAATAGACAATGTTTGTTCAGTGGTGCTGCAAGACAAGCGCTAATTAATATACTGTCACTGTTGTTTCCGTCTTGTTTAATGTTATGAAATTGTTGTGCGTAAAACCATATTTACATGCACAAGCGGTTGTTTAGTTGCATGTACATGATCATGCATATGCGATTATTTGGAGTACCTATAACCAATATATCATATCTGCTCATGCGCACTTCTATGTTCGCACTATGGGAACAGGTTCTCTTCAAAGTCGGACCAGTTGGATCAAACCTACTCCAGTACAACGGCAATTGCCCGGGGCCACTCCAAGTAACAATAGATCAGGTGTGGGGAAGTCCGAAACTGGAGTTAGCGAGAATCGGAACACCGCGCCAAAACAAAGAGCGGAGTTCACTCCACCATTTCCATCTATGCGTAGTCGTACAATCACACCCGCTCAGACACCTGCGCTGAGTTGGGCACGCGCACAACAGCTCACGCAGCCGCATACACAGGCTCTCACAAAGTCACACGTACAAACGCACACACACCGACATGTACAGATACAGACCCCTGTCCGTAGACGTGAGGAGGGTTATAGCAACTTGAAGCAACAGGTGAACACACAGTCATCGGAAAACACCCCAATACAATGGATTGGGCAGCGAACACCTATGGGTACACAGACACCAGCCAGTATGCAGAGTCTCACACAGAGGCATGTACAAGCACAGACGCCTATGTACTCTAAGCCGTGGGTGAAGGGGTTATCTCCGGATACAGATGACCATGAAAACAGTACAATGTCATTGCGTACCCAAGCTACGAACGTACAGCACATGCATGAACATCCTACACAGTATACACAACACGCACCGACACAACACACTCATACCCGACACACCCACCCACCCCCGCCAGTGTACCAGGTGCAGCACGGAACAAAACGCAGTATAGGCGATACTCAACGGCTAGATGATATAGGGAGTGTGGGTGCAAGTGGGAATTATGGGACCGAGTTGGATCATAGAATTTTAGATGGACATACTCGCAAGCGATCTAAAGTTGATCACAGTGAGCAAGTGAGTGATCCACACACGATGGCGGAGCATGGGTTAAATTTAGAAACAACCAGCAATCTGCTGGAAGAACACCGTGGCTATCACGGTATGGATGGGGTTGTAGAGACACTTAGTAAGCAACAGCAGCCGCAAATTCAGCAACATATACACCTAGGGGAGCAGCCAGTGCCGTATGAAAAACAGCATACAGTATCAAGAGAGACACAGCAAGAGCGTCAACGAGCACTTTCACAGCAGGGACAGTCAAATTCAAACCAGCAAGAGTCACGCTTGGAGCAGCACAACTTAGAAGGCAGGCCACAACCGCTCCCGTCAGGACATCGACAAGAACAGAAGGGAAAAGATGGTGAACAATTGCGGCAACAGAATTTAGATGTGCAGCATCAATCACAGATAGGCATGCAGCACCAACAAAAATGTAGTAGTAGTATGCTTCCACAATCAAAACATAATAGTATGAAGCACCAACAAACCAATCACAGTATTCAGAACCAACAAAACAATTATTGTATGCCTCACCAACAATCGCGACAGCCATATGAGCAGCAACACCAGCAGCAACAACGACAACAACAAACACGTGCAAATCCAGAGCACCAAGAAATGAGTACACTTCAACTTAATCACCAAGCACAGTTGCAGCGAGCAAAGAAGCAACGAGAGAAAGAGGCGCGACTGCAGCTTCAACGACAGCGTAAAATAGAACAACAGCGATACAATCTGGCTTCAATGGCCCAACAAAACGCCCCTGAGAATTTGGCATCTACAGCTACTGTGGAAAATAGCACGAGACCTAGTAAGTCACTCAACCCGAGCAAAGACAGCGCTCGTGATGCAACTCGATCGGCTGCGGCTACATCCACTGGTATGGATAGGGCTGGGGCCACGCATGCAAATGTGGCGATAGAAACTCGTAGTGGTCACCCAAGGATTGCAGAATTCGATAAAAAGGTATAGAAAGGTACAAGTCATAAGTTTCCCTCTCGTTTCTCCGATTTTCGGCGTCGATAATGGAGCGATCCCATATCAAACTCTTGCACACCCAGGGGCCCCTTTCGAAGTTTATGGTACATACTGACTGCTTACTACGCATGAGATGCAGAAGCAAATTTTTTGAACTGATAGCTGGTACTGTACCTATAGTTAATATGGAAGGTTGTTCAAAGCACGACCTGTGTGTAGCATGCATCGCGGTTGTCGTGTCAACCTTATACGTGCGATCTTCCTAGTCCTCAGACAGCAGTAGACTATTCATCGATGGTTCGATATTGCTGGCTTCAAAAATGCATCAACGGCACAAACAAATTGAGTCTCCCATAAACTGCCACTGACCACTCACGGGATTCCATGTAGATATATAGTCACGATATCATTATATCTCAATACATTTCAGGTTGCCAGACACGATTAATACTCTAAGAACAGATCATCGGGTTAGACACCAACCACAAGACCCATAACTACTCTTGCCCGCCGTCTTACATTGCTCCGAAGCTTCACAATTGAATGCCCTTTATCATGTTTTCAAGACAAATTGGTTAGTATAAGTCAGTTTCGACCGTTCATTAACATAACATTTGGTGGATCGGGTGTTATCTTTTCAACACGTGTCCCAAGTTTTCGAGCGACTCACTTAGACGCACTATATATAGACTCGCGTTTTATTTATCCGTGCATCCATCTGTCCTCAACACGCATGAACTATAACTCCTCATTCCAACGTCCACAGAACATCTCATTTGATTCCGCAATGTGCCCTAATTTAAAAGGTTAAAAGCAAAGTAGTTAATCTCTTACCCCAAATTCACAATGCCGTTTGGTACAAACTTGTCCTGGAGTATCCTAAAACGCATCCTTACAAACCTGAAACACGACGCATCTTGTTAACGTGATCCAACCTTCAAATCTTTATGCTACTCCCATCATCATAGGAAGCATCTATGTCAACTATTGTTCACAACAACGCCAATTCGAGTTCAGGAGTTGTTGTTAAAGAATCGGGCGGCACACTTAATGATGCGCAGAAAACTCAGGAGAGTGGGGCGAAGCGGGTTGCTACTGCCAATGCAACAGCTGTAGTTGCCAAGCAACACGTCGAGAAGAAACCCTCTTCTGGATCAGAAGCGGTGATGCGAGTGGTCATGGTGGTGCAGGTGATGACGTCTGACGCGTCGTTTCGCGAATTTGAACGTACTTGGCGCAGCAAGTCCAAGTTCTGTATTTGGTAAGTCACCCGATACACCTGTGTAAATATATACTGTGTGTATATATCGGCGCTCAACGAAATATATATACACTACATACACACGTACAAATACATATATATAGCTAACACAGATTCAGAAATTGAATGTTGCCACGAGTGATTCTCAAATAGTGAGTAGTAGGCCTGTGCCGTGTTGTGTGCATTATTCCAAATCCCCAAACTTTTTTCAAAGTTCCTCAGTCTGCTCCTACAGTCCATCGGATAAAAAAATACACAAAATTGCGCGCCCACCAAAACATGCAGCGGGACCTACACAGCTGCCAAGTCTTCGGGTGGGGCATCGAAACCTCGATTAAAAGACCTGTCGGGGCTATCCGTGTGTTTCGATGCGTCGGTGGTTTGGTACATGGACTTCACAAATCCCGAGGTACGACGCAGTGATCTAAAAATAGACTCCGAAGTGCCAAGTTATGAAGATGGGATGCGCCTCCTGAAGGAACAGCTGGTGGTATGTGCATGAAGTGGCAGCATTCCGAGTGGAGTTCTAAAAAAGTGTGAGCCATCTACGTATTGGCAAATAGTGTTTATTTCGACAAGTTGTGCATTGCAGTGTTCTGTATTATGCGTATAGTTCTTCAAATAGTGTGTATTCGTATACCGCACGCTTGTGTCAGTACCACAGACAATGATATAGAATATACACATAATCGATCGTTTAAAAGAAAGTAGCGGGTTTATCTGTAGCTCACTTGCACTAAAGCATGACTTCTCTATCATCACAAACGCAGCGTACGGATACAAATCTAATATTTGTTTCAGCCAAACGCTTCCTCAAAGCACTCCGATGCCACGGTTACGAACCTGGTGGCAATATTTCTGACCCACTGATCGCAGATTGGTTGCTCAGTCCCTCCACTGATTATAAGTCGCCGTTCGAGGTTTGTGTGTGTTGTGCCTAGTATTCCTTTCTATACATTCAGAGTCAGCCTGTTTAGGGAAATGATAATCTGGCAAAGACATGATTACCACTCTGTGTATTAATTGTACCGAGTATCTATTTCGAATGTCATAGGGTGCTAATTTAGTCCAGACTCATCTCACCGAAGACAATAATGAACCCGTTCGAGGTAGAATCGTTATCTGTTGTAGAATTTGTAGGGCGTGACCTGGTTGGTTGTGTCTCTCGATTCCAGTTATTTTCTGGCTTTAGTTTATGTATATATGTACCGGTAGTAGCAATGCCTGGCAGTGGACAATGACGTTATTTATAAGTTCATCTGTGACTGACGCTTGGATCAGTGCTATATAACTCGCGAAACACACACGGGCAACTCGCCGTTATTATAGCCTACCTCCCTTTCCTAATGCACTACTGCATCACCCACTTCGGTAGGTATACTTTTCTATCATTCTATATTCACTATGCTGGTCACAAGCAATGCTTCCGCTATATATCTAATCTTTATAGTTGCACCCGCAGACCCCACGTGCCAATTTCTCCGCTTATATGATACACTTTCGCTTACACAGACCCTCAGCCCATGCCTCCCGTTGTGCAAATGGAGTGTGCGCGACCATACGAGCACAAAACCAGCCGCCACTGACAGAAGTAAAGAGCCCAACAGGGTCTCCAACAAAATGCCTATTAAAGACCCCCCACTAGACACTCGGGTTGTGGAGTGTGCTAAGGAGTGTTTGGTGGGCTGGGAGGTTATGCCTATTCTGTCCCAGAAATTGCACCGGCACACTATGGATACCCTATTCACAAAGATTGAGGTAGGGTTTAGGGCTGATAGGCTGGTATGGCGCGGCTCTGTGAGGCGTTTAGGGTTTAGGGTTTAGGAATTTGAGCCTTGAAAATTTACATGTAGTCACTCTAACAAGTTATCATTCGGAATGTTCGTACTCTCACCTTGTACGTTCCTCGTATTCATGCTTGTGCGTAGTTAGGCGTGCGTGATATTTACGAGTGAGGCAGGCATGTGTCTCGGCTGAGTGCCTGTCGTGGGTGTGGTATATGTCACGTGTATTTTTTTGGTCGCTGATATATGAACTTGTTCCTGTCCCTATGATGCTACAACACACCCTATGTGCTTGTGCGTCACCACAGCACATATGGTATCAACAAACACCACTACATCTGCTTTAGTAGCAGAGTATGCATACGAACATTCGAACAGAATACGTCTTCGGCTCTTATAGCAGCAACACGAGGATTTTGACAGATCGAGAGAGGCTCTCTACCTTAAATCATGTCAACATTGCGTGTCGTTGTTCTGCCCAGTATTCCAAATCCTGATTAAAAAAGTACACCAATGATTGGTACAAGTCAAGCAAATTGAGTTGTACTTTTGAGCCACACATCTTCAACAACTGCAGCTGATTCAACATATGTGCGGTCGATCTACTGTAGTCATGAGGATACTGTCCGATGATTTGAGCTGAAACCCTTTCCTATGTATCTCACACAGGCCATGGCCAATATAGAACACATCTAGCCTGCTGCGTACTCATATCTCCCCACCCACACGTATCTACAGATGCCGGTAGTTCGCCTCGTAGCTGATCTTGAAGCCAGAGGATTTCCTGTTATCACAGAGGTGTGTGCACCATAGTCAGGTCCGAGTCAAGCTCATATTTACACATGCTCAAATGTGCGTACGGAAGTATGTATGTACACGGGAATATCTTATTCAAGGTGTTGTGCGGTGATATGCAGACAATTAGGCATGTCGATGTGCAAGTGCTCCTTGAGTACATCAGTAGGAGCAGATTAGCGAGCATATGTAAACATACATCGGCTTTTATTTACATAAAAGTATACTACTGTCTTTCTCCATTTTTAAATCAGAGGTATGTGCAATATCTGATACCTGTCATGCTCATATATCCGTTTGACCATCTGCTGATTGTTCGTCAATAAGCATCCTGTAAGATACAGCGTTCAGTCTCGAGATCCTAGTATTTTCACAGACTAACGCCTGATTACGTTTCTATCATTTCTGTATGTCAGACCCTGCGGAAGATGGTATCAGCCACAGCAGGTGAGTGCAAGTACTTGTCAGTGTACGAGCGCCCCTTCAACGTTGCTTGCTTGCATATGGAATTTAGTACAGATGACACGCAACATTTGACAATTTCGATTACAAGATATGGCACATATGAACCAGTATGCTTTTTCCATGGATTGGCATGCGAATAGAAGGGGCACCTGGAATTGATATTGGGCTTCAGTTGCAGGAATTGGAATGCTTGTGAGATATCAAGACGCTACGCACCTCAGCTATCACCTACCGTATCCTTTTGTTCTTATTCTTGACATCACGTTCGTATATGAACATTTCAGCCATTTAATAATGCGACGCGGATATCCTTCTACTTTCTATTGCCATCATTCAATGCATAAAAATGTACCCTTTCCAGCAGTACGCGCTACCCTGGCTGTTTGTACGTAATGTGCATACAGTGTATGTGTGTGATTTTGTTTTTTTAAATGTATTTTTTTGCATTTGTGTGTTCACTGGTGGAAGTGGAAGAATCGAATTAGATATAAAACTATATTGAGTTTTGTGAAACTTGTCTAAATAGAGAACATGCATACGATGACGATCTACAGTCTGTCCTCATGTGTCAATCTTTTCATCCGATACAGAGCGGATGTGTCGCCTCTCGTCTATCACACAGATTATCGCGAAAACCGAGTTTTCATTGGAAAGTCCCATTCAAGTGGCGAAGGTAGAGTGTATATTTTGATGCTTTCTAATGCAATCAGCATAGTACATATCCCAAGCACACTCATACGTCATGTACAAAGATGCCATAACGCGTATATATATGTATATAGCTCTCACAAATACAATGGCGTGTGGCAAAAATACATCTCACAGACAAGTTGACGAGTAAATGGCTATATAAATGTTCTCTAAAATCTGACATGAGATACTACCGAAGGTGCTGTAAGCAATCCCACTCTGAGGAATAGAGTTGTTCGCAAGTTTAGATGTGCATTGGTTGTGGCTGCTGCTGACTTATCAACAATGACTTAAGCTGATAGACGCTGCGTGTGACCTAAAACATTGTACATAGTTTGTCTCTCTGAAGTGGATCAATGGTAATTGTTCTTGCCTGAAATTACAAGATGTCCGGTGGCAAAAGATTTTATATGTTCGAATAGATTTCGGCGGAGCTATGTTAAAGAGTGCTCAAGTATACATAAAATTTAGGGTCACCTACGAAACACGGAGACACACATTTGGAACGACTACGCTCTAAAATGCACACCTTATCGATCAACAACTCAACCGAATCCCTTTTTTATATGATGTGTTAAACAGGCGCTATTTGACAATGCCGTGGTTAAGTGCACATACCCCGACTTCCTTAATACATCCAAGACGCGCAAGTCCACCAACCGCAGAGTTCTCCGCTGGTGTGCCAACCAGTCAGATTCGAACATTATATTTTCGCTGATGATTGAATGGCGCTCGCTGCAGCATCTCAGCGCAACGTTATTAAGCTTACTGCGTTCGGTTGGCGATAGGTATAAATATATATATATATAATTATATATATATATATATATATATATATATATATATATATATATACATATATATATATATATATATATATATATATATAATTATATATATATATATATATATATATATATATATATATATTATATTACTTAANATTATATATATATATAGTTATAGTATAGTGTTAGTGTTGTATGTGTTAGTAGTNTTAGTATATAATATTATATATTAATNTATNTAGT